CTTTTTCATTAGAAGTGCTGTTACTCACATTACATTCTTATTCTAGGACTAAGATGCAATTGATAAGCCTTTTTGGATACTTAATACTTTTTTAAGTCACCATATACCAACAACAATAACAAAAATGTTTAATTTGAAGTAAATGACTATTAATTCAAACAACTTTTACTTAAAATACTCATTACCAAAAAATGGTGTTGTTGGAAATTTTTTATTTCTCTTCTATTATATATTAATTAATCCTATTTACTCTCTATAAAAGTTTTTACTCAGTCTGTTTCACCTTGAAGGCCGCACAATTCTCTGCAGGATGGTGTTTGTAGACCAGACATAGCTTCTTCCCATAACAAACCAGATTCTTTCTCAAGGTTTATTCATAACATGTTACTGTTAAACAAAGTGTCTGTAATTTGTTTTGACTTTGACTACTTTTGCATTGTTGTAAGTAAGGGGGAACGAACACTGCTCTAGCACAACAGGGCAGAATGCTGTGCCATTAGGGCTGTATGATTACTGTTCTCTCTTTGCAAAGATACTGTATGAATAAATGTGCCGACTGAGTGAAATCCATTGATCTCCGTTTATTTAACTAGGATGAATAGTTGAATACTTTTTTCCTACGACAATGGACATAAGTAAGAGTAGCTCTAACACATTATATGTTTACTTCAGTAAAAACAGAAAGTAGCCATTCAGAAAAAATACTCAGGTAAGGTAAGTATTGAGTGAACAGTACTTAATACTCATGTTGATAACAGATTAAATACCCTTAAAAAATATGTAAAATAGCAATAATAATAATAATTTTATGCAAATGCTCATTCAAGGTATGAGATATAAAAAAAAGTAAATATAACAACAGATTCAGGTGGAAGAAACACTTTTCAAAATATAATGTTTAATATATTTTTATTACAAAACCTAAACCTTGGACTCGATACTTGCAATATTTTATATATGGGCAAAAATAGATTACATTACTACAAAAAAGATACAACATACTGTTTAATGTATGTTCACTTGATCTTCAAATGACACGGCATAATCAGCAGAAAATAACAATAACCCAATGGAGATTGAGTACAAAAAAGAAGTCGCACTTAAACATGACCTGCAGGGGTGTAATTCTATCAGGGTGAATATTTGCCTAAAACCTGTTCTTTTTTGGGTAAAATTAGTCACAAATGTAACCAGTTACTCCACATCTCTGAATAAAACAAAAGTTGTGTAAATGACAAAAGCAGAACTATCAACACCTAACTTAAAATTAACGAAATAATCAACCTTTTGGTCTTATAGCTACAAGACTTTAACTTGACACACTCAGAACTTTGCATTTCATAGACAAAGCAGAAGCTAAAGGAATAACAATAATCACAAACTGTATATCTTAAAATGTTTTGTTGCTACACATGAATGGCTGCATAGCTCTAACAGTCCTGCTCCAAAGTTTCCTTCATCAACAGCAATCATTCCCAATATTTCAAAAAAAACACAAATAGTATAGAGAACCATAATTTCTATAGAGTCCCTACATTTATCTAACCCTAAAAGTTTGGCCAGTAGATGGCGGCTATGTATTTGTTCATTCCAGGCTCCTTTTACATCTATTTTGAAATGTTTGTGTTTCTAAGGCACTGTCATAAACAGGTTAATGACCCATCCAGACTCTGCCACTGACAAGTAGAAACGATAACAGCCTTGTTACTGTGTGCATCAAGAGTCAGCAAACAAGAGGAGTTCAAGGTTATGGTTTTTCTAAGAATTAAGGACATTTCATTTAGAGGATGAAATGAACGTTGACAGCACATCTAGTTAATGCAGTCCAATTTGTCGTGATTAACTTAATTCCAGTCAGTTATTCTGCATCACTTTACACTGAATTCATATCAGGGAACTATTAAAGACTCAAAACAGGAACAATCCATTTTTTTAAAATCAATCCATCTAACCCCAAGGTCACAATCTGATTAATTTATCTTACCATCTTTCAATGATAACTAACCACAAAACAGCAAGAAATTATAAAACAGGCTTGAGTAAAATATTGTGCATCGAAAAAAGTTGTAGATTGCATTAGAACTTTACTCGAAACAATCCACAGTGCCAGTACAACCTATTTACATTGGTTTTTTTTCACATTTAAATACACTTCTCAAACAAATAAAGGGAACACTTAAGTAACACATTCTAGATCTGAATTAATTAAATATTCTCATGAAATACTTTGTTCTGTACCAAGTTGAATGTGCTAACAACAATTTCACTAAAAAATCATCAATGAAAAATAAATGTATTAACCAACCGAGGCCTGAATTTCAAGTCAGCCAACAGAGGCATTTTCCTGTTAAGATGGCAGATGGTCTGAGAGATTTCTTCCAAAACCTGGACTAAACGGACGCTGCAAACTTTCTCATTACAGCTCACATTGATGTGCCATCCTGGTTGAGCTGCACTACCTGAGCCACTTGTGTGGGTTGTAGTGTGAAAGCGCCACTTACCTTCCAAAGCGACCAAAACATCAGCCAGAAAGCATACTGTAGGTACTGAGAATTTTTATCTGGGGGCCCCACCTGCAGAACTGCTCCTTTATTGAGTGTGTCTTGATAATTGCCAATATTTTTTACCTTTTGTCAAACAATTTTCAAAACAGCATGTGAAATTGATTGTCGTTCAGTGTTGCTTCCTAACTGGGCAATTTGATCTCACGAAGTTTGATTTGATTAAAGTTATATTGTGCTGTTTACGTGTTCCCTTTATTATTTGGAGCAGTTTATTTTAGATCAACGAAAAATATATAAAACAAGTTAATGCAGCTTTTAAATGACAATTTTGTTTCAGACAAATCTATCCTACCTCACCCTAATGTGTTTGTCCCAAAAATGAATAACTATAAGCAGTGCCTGCCATTAAGAACATTATTTTGTTTAGTTTTTATTTGCTAATCAGAGTTTAACTGTGGTGTACCTCTGCCTCACTCTTCATGGTCCCAAGCTGGTTTATGATCAGAGAGGATTTAGTTCCTACATCTACTTCCAGGTCTGACATTTTTAAGATGTCCAAACAGCCTCACCTTATTCCTTTTGATGATGAAGGACATCATTACATCTCTTTGTCTAAGCCAAGTCAAGATGGAGCTCAATTGACCCATTTATATGTTTGATCTCTTTCTTTTGGTCATGATCCATATCAAAATCTAGACATAATGGTAAAATGAGACTTTTGTCTTTAGTTCAGCTCTTTTTTCCACTCAATAGAGCAAAGAAGGGAGTAAAAGGAGATAAACAGTGAAGGCCCTAATCTACAATCCAGCTCTAATCCCATCTTCCCTCTGCAACAAGACACCAAGGTACTCTTATCTCGAAGTTGTTAGGATAATTATCATTGAAGATGTGTGAGTTTATTACACCCTGGTATGGGCTGCCTGTTGCGCGTCAGAACTGACATTCTAATTTAAATAGGACAGTTCCTTTGTCTGGATATACAGTTATAATCTTCATTTTGTACATTGCAAAGATTTGGAAATGGAATGAGAGCGGTGTCCTTCAGCTAAGAACGATGTGTAATATTTTGAGGATGGAGCAATGGATGTCTAATCATCTGCTAATGCGTATGATGTAAAACATGATGATGTGGCAGGCTGGAGATGTATAAAATTCTTTTTAACTGTTAATCAGGGCAACTTCCTGAGAGATGAGCCTGCAGGTGAGCAGCTGCAATACTGTAACCCTAAGCAATTTCTCTGATCTGAGTAGGGTTACAATTTCAGAATCTGTTGTCATGTCTCCTGGTTATTTAATACAATAAAGTTATGAAGTGTTATATAAAGAGTTTGTCCCTAGTGATCTCTTTTCAGGGAAAAGAACCGGAAAGAAATAGCATCAGGGTGCATACACAGAGCTATCTCTAAGAAAGTTAAACACGGTCACTGTTGTAAATATTTCCTTCCTGGGGCTGGGACTTTGACCAAGCTGCGTTTTTTCAGGTAACTTCAAGAAGTCCTCGAAGAATCAGTAAAGAGTAGATGTTGGCAAGGGCATGTTTAATAAACAATTGTCCCGTTTTTATACAACCAACTGAATTTTATATATATAATCTCTCATTGTTGAACTGTTTTATTTTTTCAACATTATGGAAAAAAACACAAATACATACCGATCCACTTTAAGGTGTCTTTTGGGGTACGATAACTTTTAGGAAACCTATGGTAGCTTTATAGAGCTATTTTCTTAAATTTTCTTGTTTCTTAAGGAACCTCGTGTAAAATAAACTGCCAGGAAGCAATGCTACCCTTAAAACGACCCTTGCAGAGGTACTACTTTTAGAAACAGAGAAATTCCCTTTAGACCAAGCCTGAAGGGTAACAGTTTTGTAGGTATTAATTGTAGGTATAAATTATATGGCTTTACAGTTTTCATATTCTAAAATACCAATCAAAGTTTTCTTATCTATTTTGAATGATTGATACTTCGTATCAATCATTCAAGTATTATCTATAGAGTATGCTACACACCCAGAGACCAAAGGGCTGCGCACATCCATAAAATTAAATGAAATGAAATCATAAAATGAGCAATAAAATACAGTATCTAGGGTAAAGCTTATAGAACATGAGCAGTTAAAATAATAAAGGGATAATAAATTAGAAATCTATAAAGAAAACATACTGAAACTTCAGTTGGAGTTCAAAGTCAAGCTGAATGATGAGTCTTAAAGGAGATTTAAAATATTTCAATGTATTTCCCCTCATTGCAACAAGTGAACCAGCAACAGAGAAAGCTATCACTTCAACTTATGAGTCCAAAGAACATCAAGTAGCAGGTTACCTGACCTCAGGGTTTTAACTGGACACGCCTTAAAAGAGCTTTGATAAGTAGAGGGGTGCCTGACTTTTCACTATTTAAAAAGTAAGAGTGAAAACTTAAAATGAATCCCAAAACATCCAGGCAGCCAGCACAGCGAGGACAATATGCAATAAATGTGTTCAGGTCTTTTTTTACCTGTCAGCAGATGGCCAGCAACTTTTTGGATCACCTGCAGAAGACAAAGAAGAGAACTGTACATCCCAGTAGAGGGTTGCAGTAGGCCAGTCTGGAAGCAACAAAAGGGTGAATCACCCTTATAGGTTCACTATAAGGTAGATAAGTTTTGATTTTAGAAAATAAGCCTTAGAAGAAAGAAGCTGGACACGACTACTGCACTGCCCTTTTTATCAAATTTAAAGGAGTAATACCCCATATATAAGTTATAGTTTTACAATGTAAATAGTTTAAAGGATCATTTGCATTGTTAAAATTCAGTTGCAATAACATCACCTTAGACTTAATTTCATTAAGGTAAAGAAATTTAAGTTCTTTAAAACTCAGTGGGTACTACTTGCATTTAGAGTGAGGTAGATTTGTACATTGTCCACAAAACATTAAAAAAGACAAACCTTCTCTAAAGCTGAACCCTAGAGGAGGAGGGTAAAGGGAGCCTTGAAGTAGGGCGCATTTCAGAAAAGAAAGAGAACCTTAGATTGTCTATTCTTCACAATTCATAAATACGAAACAGACAACATTTTAAAATTAGTTTGTTCTGAACTTCCAACAGGTTAGAAACATTCTTATTCAGAGTGTGACCCTAAAAAGAACTCTAAAATGAAGAGAATACTCTGCTGTGATCTTAACAGCTCTGTCCCTGTCTTTTCCTATTACTTTACAAAAAAGTTAACAGGCCTGATCGGCAATATTCATGTTTCAGTTAAAACATTACCTAATGTCTGGAACAACACTACTTTGTTTGAGGATACAATCAATGTTAGAGTTTCACCCTGAAAGAATGTTGCGTTGATCTTACTCAAACTCTTTCTACCCTGAACATACTCAGACATTTGAAAGGGGGCAGTTAATTTAACATTTATTATAGACACTTTTTTTTTCCATTTTTAATGACAATACTGCTTTCAAATCAAAGCCATTATAAAGAATCAGGAAATAATGCTGCCTTGATGGTTATTTACTGTTTCTAATCTCGTCACAGATTTTTTTTATGTTAGTGTCCAGTATCCCAAGGATGCTAAAGCAGATAAAAAGACTTATGTAAACATACCAGCAGACTCTGGAGTGGAAATGCAAATAGCCGGGCAGCCAGGGTAAAACAGTAGGTTTTAAAAATGTAACTTTGTTTAAATAACTGTTAATAAATAGCCTTGTTTAATATAAAATAATTTCCTGAAACTGTAGTGTTTGCAGTACCAATAAGGGAAACATTCAGGTGTTTTGATAAAATAATTCAGATAGATGAATAAATATGTCTACAGTTGGAAAAAAAAGAACAATTATAAGCAGTACCTACCTGCTCATGTGGAAAAAAGTTTTTTTTGCTTTGTGATAGTTTCTCTACTGACATTCAAAGGAATCATTCCAGTGCATTGGCTCTGTTGCAGGATGAGAACGACAATGGGTTATTTTTTTTATCAAAACCCTTCACCACCAAGTACAGGCAGACCTCTCGGAAGATCAGCATGCTACCAAAAGACCCATTGTTCTGCAGCTTGCCCGGATACATGGCCTACACTGACAAACTGCTTATTTATTGATGGTAGCATCGCAACCACTACAACCCCATTCATTTGCCATGAAAAAAGGTGTCACAGCTATACAGTAAGTTGTATTGATAAAAACTGTGTTGAAGAAACAAACTGACTCTAAAAGAGCCTGGACATTGTTTGCTTCCCTTAGTATACATGTGAATGATTGTGATGTTAACCATGCACATTAAAGTATGTCCTTATCCCATATTTGCTATAGCATATTGATAATTGAACCAGTTTATTACGTGCAAAAGCCTCACAATGAACATAAACCAAGGTTAAAAAAAACTGTAACAATTTCTTTTGTCTTGGAGCAAAACTGTTAAAACCTTTAAATACACAAATTGCAATGCAAAACCTCAACAACATTGCATATCCTTTTGTAAATTACCATGCCGGCAAATTTTTAAAGGCAAATTTTCTAAAAAATGTATCAAGTTAAGTTTCCAAAGTGTGATTTAGTTACTCTGTATTATCTAATTTGCATTAATGGCTTTTAGTCCTCTCAGCGTTGGCTATTGGTGGCATTTTAATACCTTGACACATTTTCAGTTTCGAAAGGTTGCATTATTATTATTATTTTATTAATTTATTTATTTTGCACAAACTGTATGTTGCAAACATCTTTTGGTCTCTTGGAAAGCAAGACATTTTAAGTGTGAAACTTGCATAAATATACATATGGCAAATTTGACTGGTGTTAACTGCATTTGCAAAGAGAATTAGGCCTTCTGTTTATGAATACTATTTCACACAAAGATTTATTTGTGCATCTTTTTTCAGATGTTAGTTTCAAAGGACACACACAAAGGTTTGCACAAATTAATCATTGTGCAAAAAAGTGATATAGACAGGTAAAAAAGATTTCTTATAAGTTTATGGTTTTAAAAATAAATTGTAAGACAAAAGTATGGCTGATATATCTTAAAAGACAAAAACAAAATATCCACAGAAAATAAGAAAACTAAGGGTTATAAATTGAGTTGTATAGGTTATCCAATAATACATATATATTTAGGAGTTAGGTTAATTGGTTTCTCTAAAGTGTCCTTAGGTGTGAAAATGTGAGTGTGCATGGTTGTTTGCCTCTGTGTTTCCCTGCGACGGACGGGCGACCTGTCCAGGGTGAACCCCACCTCATGCCCATAGACTGCCAGAGATAAGCAATGGCCTCACCACGACCTGGACAGAATAAGCGAAAGCAGATGGAAGGATGGAAAATGTATTTAATGCATGTTGATTCTGGATTTTTGTTCATATTTTGTCTGGTAAAAAAAATGTTTATCATTAATAAAAGCTCTATTTACTTGTTTTAAGGGGTCCGTCTTAGAAAATCAGAATCAGATAAAATTATTTTTATCCTCAATATACATTTGAAGAATAATTAAAAAAAAATGTTAATAGGCCTAAAAAAGCAATAAGTCAAATTAACTCTATTTTGTATGAGTATGAATAGCTCTGGATAAAGTTGGGAGCATTCTTCGATGTGACATTTCTTTATAACAGTATGTTTTAATTACAGTTCTTTCTGGACTTGCTTGAAGTATCTTGAATATTTTGATTTTTTTGGATTTTCTGCTGATTTTCTTCAGTGAATGGGATCATTGAGGTTCTGTTTTATTAAGATTTAACTGCCTTACAGATGGTCTCAATCATTGTGTTTAAAAGAATCCTAACAGTGTGTAAGGATGTTTATACTGCACTATGTTTAGTTTTTGACAGAGTGCAGCCGAGCACATCATCGCAAAACATCCTCAAATTTGGTCTTGTTAACTGCTCCTAATTTGGGGGAATTTTGTTAGTTTGAAAGTGAATGCTGGCATGCCAGTATCCCTTTCCAAATAATAGACTTTTTTTCACAGTCCTTCCAAAAACAAGTTGAGGAATGTGAAATCTAAGATGTGCATTTTATGTGCTGGTTGTAAGGTCCGTTGTTCTGCTGAGGAAAACAGATTTGGTTTCTTCTTGGCAAGTTTATAATTAGACTGTTTGTCACAAAAGCTGAGGAAGGCAGATTAAGCAGCTTGTCTTAATTCTGGTGATACCCTATCAATGCTCAGTGAGTCCTATTTGTTTTTTGGATCTATATTTTTACAAAGAAGTTTAGCTCAGCCATGATATTCACCTCTGTTCCCTTCCTGCTGTAAAAGTGGGTCAGGATTATGGTTATTGTACTGTAAGGGTATCCAGTACAATAGCAATAATGGCACTTCCATTTTTATAATCAACCTTGACCCTGGGTTTATATTTCTCTTCCACCAAGGTTAGATTTAGGGTAGGAAGGAACTGTACTATATTTAATTATTAAAGCTACTGAACTTAGGCTTAGTTGCCTCACCTTTCTGTCCAAAACCTCCTGTGTGTCATTTTTCTTTTTGTGTACTTCATATATAGAAATATAGAGAATCAAATGAACAAATAACAGTGTAGACACCATCTTCACAAACAGCAATGAAGGGTTATTTAGATAAGGTTGTAATTGAAGTATAAATGAAAACTGTAATTTGCTTTAAAGTTATAGAGGAGGATGTTCTTTTTTTGGTGGATCTTCAAAATAAGTGGTCCTCCTAATTGTCAATCATTCTGGTTATATGTTTACATAAGGCTGTCCTACTTGCTCGTCCCCATTTTCACTTACGGGTGAAAATTGCAAAATTTTCTTTTGGAAATTAAGCTGTATGAGCAAAGAGCACCTTTTAAACAAATCATGCAAAAGGAGAAATGGGCTTGTGCATGCTCTTGCATGTGTTTAATAGGCATTCCCTCTGGGGAGTGGGTACAGGGTTGTGCATGTGCATTGTTTTTCTAATGTAGAGAGGGTGGGTCTTTTCAGAAATTCACGAAAATCCTCCACTATACCATTAATGTTGAAATTTATTTAAAAAAATAAATACATAAACTTGGCGTAATTGACTTACTTCAGGTATTAATTGTAAAAATGGCATATCCCTGCAGTAGGGTGAAAAAGAGCAATGCTTATAGCGTTTTGTTAGGGGGTTCTATGGGGGTTCCAGGTGTGAGCTTATAACTCCTCCTTCTTTGTTTTGTGTTGGAGGAAGGGTTAAAACTATGCAAAACTATGATTTTTTTTACCAGAGTTTTCTTTTTGCATTTTTTCTATTCATAAACAGTGTAGAAATGCTTTGTTCAGTGCATTTATTTTATATAGAGGCACATCACAACATACTTCTCTTAAGGCACTTTACATAGACACTTCGATCAAAACAGGTTAGTTAAAATTTATCTGACTAAGAATACCCAGCTGACTGCATTGTGTTGATTGACTCATTGTTTTTGAGTGTTAAATGACAGGAAAGGCTATATTGATGTCACTAAAGTATTGTTCTAATCTTCATAATATTGGTGAATAGAAACCTAACCAAGGAGATTTATGAACCACAGCAGTAATAGGGCCCAGAGAGAGGGATGTTAATAAGCAAACCATTGAAACATTGACTTAGAGAACAAGTAAAAGAATAGCACAGCATAAAAAGTAAAGTGGACATCATATAGGAACTCAAATAGGTCAGCATTTATATATTTTCTAAGTGTTGTTTCCTTATTCCTGAAACAGGAGACATTATGAAAATTGGACTGAAAGTAGATTTTTCAAGCCTTTTGATCATACATAAAACAGTGACACAGTAGAACATTTGTTCACTAAAAGCTTTATTTGTCAATCTAATCTTTAACCAGATCTAACGTCATCACATAGTCAGTTACGTAAGTAGTATGAAAGACATCTCTTTAATTTCCAAAAGAAAAAGCATCCTTAAATAAAAGGCTTTCATTCTTCAATATAATGTTTGTTGTTTTTGTTTAAGTTTTGTCATTTTTACATTTTCACAATGTGGCGTTTTATAATTGACAGCGAAGTTCAGTATTCTGGAGAATAAAACACAGAAAAAACAAACAAAATTACAGTATTTTTTCACCGTTATCACAACATAATTAAATGCTGAATTGCAAATAAATGTACAAATTCTACTTAATTCAGCAATTTTCCGTTTTGAAATGGAACGATGTTGAAAAAAGGTTTAAACATAAAGAAAAAAAATGAGCAAAGATCAGAGTTTTTGTTGTTTTAACTTTCCTTTGGATTAATACAGTATATTTTATTTAAATGATTTGAGTATGTTCACAGGTTTGGTGTTACAGCAAAGCATAATACATTTTCAGTACATTCTATGTCAGCTTTTACAAGGTGACCATGCTTTTAGTGTAAGGCTATTTAATTACGCAATAGTCAACTGCTGCATTTGAAGTGAAATCTCTTTAAAATCTTAATCTGTATCTAAACGGAACATCTCTGATGGGTTGCATCGATCCAAATCCCCAACGTCTGAAGTCAATTTGAGGAATCTCCTCATCTGCATTCTTCAGCTCAAACTCAAAGTAGACCAACATGAGGAACACAAACTGTTTCAGCTCATTGGTGGCAAAAAATCGCCCAGGACACATGGAGACCCCTGCACCCCACGGCATGTTGTAGTACTTCACTTTCTTACCACCTTTGAAAAAATCTGTTTTTTTGCTGCCATCTGGGTTCAGAAAACGGTCATATTTAAATGTGTGTGGGTCAGGATGGATCTCTGGGTCAATGTGGACTGCTGAGTAAGGAAAGATGGACATCCTGTCACCCTTGCGGACAAGGTATTGACGCCCATCAGCCAGCTTGAGAGTCATATCCTCGAGCACAGCCCTGGTGAGAAGGGGCGCTGCTGTGAGCCTCAGGGTCTCTTCCACAGCGCTGTCCAGGATGGGAGTTTTCAGCAGCATTTCACGGGTAAGGTCTACTAAGGGGCCGCCACGTCTGACTTCCTGCCCTGACTCTTTCAAAACTTTATCAACCTCTTCTCTCACTGCTTTCATGGCCTCTGGGTGTTTCAGGAGGAAGAGGAGAAGCCAGAACGAAGCGGGTCCTGTGTTTCCCTGAGAGGCCCAGAGAAGCACAAACATGTACCTGTTGATCATCGACTCATTCATCCCCACCTCTTCTTTGGCCTGCTGCATGTCCCACACCCAGCGGCTAATGTTGTCCCTGGCTTTCATGTTCTGCACAGACACAGCATCCCAGAAGAAGGACTGCAGCCTGTCAGCTTCCCACTTCTGCTTTGGTGGAAGAACTCCATATGCCAGGTTGGGGAAGAGTTGGTCATATTTACGAAATTCGTAAAACAAAGCTTCGGAATGAGTTCTGTCCTTTTCTTTGGCTTTCTCCTCACCTCCTTCAGACTTGTGTGGCACATTTCCATATAAGGCCAAATAACCAGCTCTGAAAACAATGTTGTAGCTGTACATGAATAGTCCATCTTCCTTCCAGGGACTCTGATCTGTAGCTGAGCCCACACTGTGCAACATCAGGTTTTGCAAATTACTCATCATGGATTGTGTCATTAACTCCAACCCTTCTCCTTTCAAATGCTTGTTGCTGGCAATCATCAGGATATTATGATCATTCTCGACTGCTTTATAACCAAAAACCCTCTCAACAAGCTGCTCGGCAAAGCTTTTAAAGTCCAGCTTCTCTCGAGCCTCCTTAACGAAAGCCCCAAAGGAAAGTGGGTCCTGCAGAAATGTGAAGTAATATCCTCCCAGCTGTACTGTGAAAACATCACCATGCTTCTTCTGCATCCTCTCCAGGAACTTTAAAGTGTCTCTGCGAAATTCCAGGACATGGCCAAGCCATGGAATTAGTCCCTTGTCAAGAGGGGGCTCTCCCGGCCGCCGCTTTCGGAAAACTCCGAGAACGTACAGGCCTCCAAGCAGAGCAACAAAACAGCTGAGGAGGATCAGCAGAAGTCCCATGTCTGATTCTGCTGGCAGACAGAGTGATTGTGGGGTAAGGTCTGTGCTCAGCTTTACAAACAGGCTGTTGCTCCTCCCATGCATAATGGGTAACAGATTTCCAGTAAGAGAAGATCAAACACTTAAGCTGAACAAGAGCTAAGGAATTTGTTTGCAGTTTCTGATGTATTTCTGAAAGCAGAGAAGTGTTAACTGGCACAATTAACCACAGGATATTTTTTTTTATTGCAACACATTAATTTCATTATACTTTAATTATACTATGATAATAGGCAGGCATGTTCTGTGGAACTTTTAAAAGCTGATTTAGAGACTCACTTGTTTCTGAAATGTATGTGCAAAGTTTTATTGTTTTTACTCTGGTCTTTCCTATTCATCTGTTCTTATAACTGTTTTACTCTGTACTGTTTTATTTGTTATCTTTTAATGTTTTCAGCGCTTTGTTTGATGATGATAATGATAACTATATAATGTTATTATCATTATTATGATAAGACGTGTCTCCTAATAATGAACATCTTTGTAACTGGATGCATTTGCAAAGTATAATCTGGCTTTTTATCTGCTTAATGACTTCTATACTGTCTAAGTGGCATTAGTGTGTAAATGAGTGGTTTGGGCATCTGGAAATTGTCCCCAATGATAACCAGAATTCTGGCTGATATATTGCACAATAATCCTTTCTTTCAGTAAGGTCACAAAAGTAAGGGGTGCTTTTTATTTCTTAAAACATCCTTAGATGTCACTCTTGTTTGGTCAAATTAGCCTAAAGGAAGCTGAACAATGCCATGATATCATCATTTCCCCTTTTCCAAGTGATTGAATGACTTGTAATTTTAGTAATCATATGATCTTTCATATCATTGTGGCAGTTAGCAACTATGAGCTAGCAACCCTGGGGCTCTAGTTTGCATGTTATCTCAGGCAGTGACATGTGCAAACAATGCAAAGAAAAAAAGGTGCAATAAAATAGATTGAATCTAATGCAACATCAAAAATCTGCTGGGCTGAATATATATATATATATATATATATATAGACTTTGATGCTTTGGATTTAGGCTTTTGCAGCAATTTACCTCCATGTCTTACCATGGATGATAGAATCAGATGAATATTTGCTAGTTACAAAAAAGCAAAAAAAAAAAACATTTTCAAATGTGAAGTGCTGTGATAAAGATGTGTTTGAGCTTTGATAAAGATGGTTTGCCACTGCATGTATTTAAATTACACTAAAACATTTTCAAGTAAGCAGAACTTTAAAAGAAGTGGTGGAATTAGAAAAGCTTTTCTAAGGACTTTGACAGGGAGCTAAAGCTTTACCTTAGCAACTTTGATTCTTAGATGTTTGTTGAAAATAAGCTTAATTTAGTCAGACCTGAAACAATCAATCCATTCTGTATTACAGCAAATTTTAATCAAAACATCAAACTGATAATTATACAGGTCCTAGGGTCAAATGAACAAATAATTCTTATTTTTAATTAAATTTTATTTTGTTAGTTCTGCATAGGTTCAATATGTTGGTTAAAACCAACTAATCAAGTACCCTAATCCTTATAAATAAAGTATACAAGGTTAGCTAAGTAGAAAAAAGAAAACTTTAATAAAGCCAGACCTTGAACAGCTGATGAAACACTCCAGTGACCTTCATCCTGCTCCTCACCCTATAATCATTAAATATTTTTGCACAATTGATCATGCAGACAGTAATGCCAGTGTTGTTTGACAACGGGTTCAGAGGGGAATGTTTCTTCTGCTATCATGATGGCCATGAACTAAATTACAACAATCTGCAAGCTTTATTGTTTAATATGAGAGCAATGTGCACTTTAGACTGCAGCAGAGGCATGTGTGATTCTGTCTTTTGTTTGTCTGGTGACAGGGCAGTCCAAAATTGGAAGGCAGAAGATTATGAAATATGGTAGAGAGGTTACACTCTTCAACCAAGAGTTTTTTTTCATCCAGAAAATAATGTTAGGCCTAAAATACCTACCCGAAGGTCTGGTGTAAATGCAGAATATGTTCTATATAGGCATTTTTTTACATTATAGGTATAGGAATTTAGCACTAAAAAATAGTCCTGGCTGCTTTCTTTTTTCAGAAGCCATAAAGCGCCATCTGCTGGATTTTAATAGAAATTAAAGTATTAATTAGATTTTTCCTGTTACTGGCTTTTTGTGACATCTAGTGTTTGCAGTCATGAAAGTCATATTATTAGTTCCTTGTCTTGGGCAGTGTCAGTAACTTGATAGATCTTGATTTTATTTCCTTATTGTTTAGAGACAAGTGTTCAAATTTTCAGTTTCCCTATTATTGTTTTTTTTTTTTCCAAGTACATTTGGAAAAAACTAAATACAATTTATTTCCATTTAAAGACTTTGAAGAGAAAGTTGTTTTTTTTAGTGTTTTTATAAAAATAGGAAGCAGCCTGATATAATCAAAACACTAAATTGAAACAAAAAACTGAAAGAAATTCATGGAATCTGAATGCATGAAGCTGTTGCTGAACTGGAGAGCTCCCTCAGTGACAGACTGCTGCACCCTAAATGCACCAGGGAGCGTTATCGCAGATCCTTCCTCCCAGCGGCTGGAAGGCTTTATATCCATCACTGTTCCCAACAACCTCAATAAGTTGTTTCACTGATGCAGATTTTTGCAGTTTATGTCGTAGTCAGTTAAATAACATGCAGCTGTCATTTCTTTTTCTTTTTTTTTCTCACATCGCTGGTGTTGCTGCTACTTTTCACATATCCATTACCATAAAAATGTCCACAGCTCTTTATTGATTATTAACTCTCCAGATACAGACCATTTATGTTGTAAAAACACTGTACAGGGTTGGTTATTTTCTTAACTCTGTCACATGTGTGATTAATTCTGCTATAACCTTTTGCTGCTGTAACGCCACAATTTCTCCACTGTGGGACTATATAGGGATTTTCTAGAGACATTCTATTCTATTCTTTTATAGAATCAGCTTTTATCATTTTTTATTTTTATTTTTTCGCATTAGTTCATTGTTACTGTAAATAATAACAATGCATCCTGAAATATCAAGAAATGTTAGAATTTTGACTCTGACATTGAAACACATACATTATTGAATTTGATTACTTCAATTCTCTATTTTATGAAAATGTAATTTAATGAAAATTTAAATTCAAATATGGCAGTGAGCCTTAATGCTGACATTTCCTCTATGTGATATAAGTCTGGACTTTGGCTGGGCCATTTTAAAAGATTAATATGTTTTAATATTTGAATAACTCTTGCAGATGTTCTTTCACAATAGCTCCACACGATTCTGCCATAACCAGGACGGTAAAGAATTGTATTCAGATTGCCTGTGTAATAAACTGAGTGTTCCTTTTCGAAATGTTTCTCTGTATAAATCCAGTTTTTCTCCTAAAATCTCAGAGGCTTAAAAAACATTAGGGAGCAAACATTATCATGACCAAGAAACACAAGACAGGTCAGGGATAAAAAGGAGTAGATAAATCTACATTACCATTTGCAAGACAAATATATGTGTATACACTCTGAATTTTGAGCCTGTAATGATAAAAAAGTGCATTCAGAAGTTCACTGTTCTCTATTATATTTACATTACTCCTGAACCTACCTTTACTTTATTGCACATTCAGTTATTGACCACTAAGTGGGGTTATACCATCTCTTAACAACATTGTCATCTCAACATTTAACTGTTTTTTGTTTTCTTTAAAATAAAGTTTGGCACTGAGGTATTTTTCTCCTTCGACCAATTCACGTGAAGACCTAAAAGGATGAGGTAGTGTTTTAATATTAAACATTTCTAATATAAGTTGCTAAGAAAATATGAATCTTAAGATCATTTGCGCCTGGCTTACTCATAGTTTAAATAGAAAATGTAGAACAAAAAGATTCTGTTCTGTTATTATTTTATTTTTTTTGTAAAGTTTAGAAGGATTCAGTTACTTCCCTTTCACCCCTATCCTTAATCTGCATTCTGAAGTGTACATCTGGTTCTGGTTCTGGATCAGTAAGATCTGAGCCAGTAATTACATAAAGGAAATGCCACATGCTCATTAGGGCTTTGGAGCTGTTCTTTTCATGTCCGTTCTCAACAAGGCCGAACACTATGCAGAACCTCTCATAAAATGATTATAAACCTTTAAGGAAAAAGAAAATTGCAAAGCACTGCAAAATGTAAAAAAAAAAAAAAAAAAATGTTATTAATACGAAATGCAATTATTGTATTCTGTTATATAACAATAAATGCTAAAAATAATACAAGTAAATCCTTCATCAAGTTGAAGCATGAAAGTGTTGTTTTTTGGGGGTGGATCATCTCAAGACTCCCTATTTTTTTCTCATAGGCAGATCTTTCAACTCAAACATTTAACTTTGCAAAAATCTTCCAGATCAGTCATGATGTCTGTCAACTTTAATTTTCGAATCTTACCAAATATTCCAATCTGAGTTCAGGTCTTGACTACATGGTGGCACAGTTTGTAGCACTGTTGCCTTGCAGCAAGAAGCTCCGACTCCCAGCCCAGAATCTTTCTGCATGTTCTACCCATGCATGCGTGAGTTCTTTGCTGGTACTCCAGCTTCTTTCTACAGTGCAAAACCATGACTGTTAAGGTTAATTTGTGTCTCTAATTTGTCTCTAGGTGTGAGTGTGTGTGTGCCCATTTTGCCCAAATACTGTTGGAGAACCTGCCGGATTGAGCGGGGAAGACAGGTGGATGCGTTCAGGCCTTATTTTGTCTTGGTAATTTTAGCACATTGTGCTATTGCTGATTTTAAAGAGACCTTTTTTTTAAGTTTTTACAGAAAAAAATATATTTACAATTGCTTTTTATGTGACTGTTTCACGACTAAAACATTGTTTAATAATCAGAATGACTCCTCAGTATTTCAGTGCCGATGCATCTATATCTATATTTCCTGAATTTATGCTGATGAAGGTTCTCAGTCATCCAGGTCAAAGTCATTCCGTAGAAATTCAAAAAATATCCACTGGACTTGGTTTTCAAGGTTTGAAAACCAAGTCCAGTGGATATTTTTTGAATTTTTACGGAATTCCTGAATTTACTTTGGGTTGAAAGTTCCTGTGCTGTTTCTGCGTATGTGACGTGAAGAGTGTCGATGTAAAATGCTTCCAAAAAAATCTTGTCAAGTATGATCACATCCTACGAGAAGCAGGTGAGTGCTGCAGCTCTGCGTTTATGGCCACTAGGGGCAGTATCATTGGAACACTCCACCATGCCTTTTTAATCTTTCCCTTGCTACATACATTCTCAGGTCATGGAAACAACAAAATGTTGTAAGTTCTGTCAGCTTGCAGTAGAACAGCCTAATTCTATTGCATTGTAATGGCGATTCTATGGTGAGACTCCTTGCCCTGCATACAAGGTAATGCCTATCTCAGTCTCCAGTGAAAAGCAGCCTCAGATTGTTTTCCAGGATTGACATGTTTTAGCTCCATTTTATCATTATTTCAATTCAGTTCATTTATATAGTGCCACTTCACAACACATGTCATCTGAAGGTATTTTACAGAGACAATTCAGCCAAATCATATAGTCAGATTGGTTCAAAGTTTTCTATCAATGGAAAACCAGCTGATTGCATCGACTCGTTGATTCAAAAACAATCCCTCACACCAAACTTGCCTGTAGCTGTCAGGAATCCAGTTTGTGTAGTCTGTTTTTGTGTTTTCCTTTTTTCCTCCACCAGGTGGTGCCCCATCCTCATTGGGCCTCCTTGCACACCTGTAGCTCGTTGCCTCATTACCTGTGGAGTGTTCTTAAGCTGCTGACTGCCACTACCTCAAGGCCAGAGTGTTTGCCAGTTTGGGGTACTCTAGCCATGCTTAGTTTAGCAGAGTCTAACCTGAGTTTTTGTTTTGTCAGTTTAGGGTACTTTAGCCAAGCAGAGTTTTGGCTAAGTCAAACTGAGCTTTGTTTACCTGAGTTTAAATCTTCCTGTTTTTGTATTTGCCTCTCGGCAGGAAGTCATCCTGTAAACTGGATGTTTGGGACCTTCACTCCCCTGGAAGGATCTTCTGAGAACCAAACTGAGCTGAGAATTCAAGTTTGTGGTTTGGATCAACCTTTTCCCCCCAAGGATCGTTTGGGGCTTCTCTCTGAGCAGAGAATTCATCTCCACAATAAGCCGTTCAAGTACCACAGGAAATCTAACTGGCAGTCAGCTTCTCCGTTCACCAAGGAACAACCGCAATCTGGGTAAATCCTGTCTGCCCTCCATCAACAAGACAATCACTGGAACTTCCCACACAGACTGGATCCAATAAAGGACACCTTTTTCTGGAAACGTGAGTCTGTAACCTATTTCTCCTCTTCAAGTAAAAGAATCTTATTTCCCACTGAGCCTGAACTAACCGCAGTGTTTTCCCTCACTTTCCAGTTCCAGTTCGACAGTGTTCAGAGCAGCACTGGACTCTTCTCATTATTCTAAATAAACCTTTTAAACTTTCCCCTGGTCTCTCTGTGTTGGCTTTCTGCATGTGGGTCAGAGCACTTGATAAAATCATGATAGTAGCAACAGACATTGGAGAGGACACCTACAGCAGAACCAGGCTCAGTGTGAGAGGCCATCTGCTGGTGCTGAGTCATTTATGTTTAGGCCTGATTCAACTGTAATCATTGTTAAGGATTCTGCTCTTCTTGTGTAACAGGCTTTTACCTTGCCACTCTACATTAATGGCCAGATAAGCAAAGTTCCTGACCAATATAACATAGAATACTGTTAGGGAAGCCAAGGTCAGAGGAGAATGGGTAAACTAATTTTAGAGGATGAAAAGGCATCAGGAGTAAAAATAATGATCGCTTAAACCAAAATATGTAGAGTCCAATGTCTGAATATGTAAATAGTGGCAAAGAGAACCACAAACTTAGGCTAAAGATAGATTAGCTGAGACTTCTTGGGCCCCTTAATATCAAGTTAGTACTATGTCACAGCTTACTTAAGTGTTTTTAGCTGACGATGTTGATCTCTGTATGACCATATTGTTCTCATCTACTGGTCAGTATAAAAAGCAAAGCTGTCTAGGACTGTTTTCTTAAATATGACAAAGTAGCCTACACCACTGATTAACACTACATTAGCAAGATCTGAATTCATAGAACAGCTTAGGATTGTGGTGGAGCATGGGATTTGCATCATATCATCAGAAGTGCATTGGTAAAAAATTCAACTGTTTCGTGCTGTTATCATGTCAGTATGGATTATATTATACAATGAAGATCAAAGCCAGTTATGATTTCCAATGGGGGACTGAGCCTCATGCCAGCTTGGGGTTTCTAATCATGGCTGGTCAGTAATGTATTTTCTCAGCTTTTTGTTGCATCATATTTAAAATTTAGGATGTTGGCAGGACTTTGGTCTCTTACTGAGACTTGGGCTACAAAAAATATATTGTTTAGTCCAAATTACACAATAGATTGTATGAGTTTAACTTTTTATTTTTGTAAAGTTTTATTTTTTCCTATCTTTTTGCCAGAACAGGATCCGAATTTGTTTTAAAATATAAATCACTGAGTGACTTGAACAACGCATACAACATGGAAAGACCTGTATGAAGAAAATGACATTTTATTAGCAAGTCATGAGAACGAACTGTACAATTTGCCTTCGCCATTTAACAAATTGTTCAGAAAGAAATAGACACGCCCCGCATATAGGGTTAGGACCTATCTCTGTACTGACGTTCTGTCTGAGGACTGAGCCAGTCCTGCACGCACGCTGGTGTTGCATTTAAAACCAGTCGCGGACCATTTTTATTTGTTTTTCCCATAATCAATCATCCACTGTCATTAATAAAATATTTTTTTGTTGCATCCATAAGAACTTGAGTGAAAAATATAAATGTACTTTTATTTTAGAAGTCACATCAATTAATGAAAGCACGATACAATTAAATCGTCAGAACTTCAACTTTTCGCATAAAGTCAAAGTTTTAGTATAAATAGTTTCTGTATAAAGGTACCAGTATGAGTACATACTTTTAATATTTCAAACGTTTAGCATAAAATTGGTTTGTTTATGTTTTCTATCAAAAAGGACTTTCAACTCTAACTGCGGTTTTTATATTTCCAATTTTTACTCTCAACATTAAACTCACCACTCGGGAGCTTTACTTACGTCAGCTCTGCGTCAGGGGTAGTTATATCAGGACCTCGCCGGTTATTACTTCCTTGCAAACTGTGGTCGACATCTTTCACGAAGCTCATCTGACATTTTCTTTATAAAGCTCCTTCAGAATATAACGCAGGTAAGATGTTTCCCGTGGGCTTTATGTACATTAAAACTATCATCTTATCTTGTAAAACACCGATAAATTTGTAATATTTTTTTGCGTTTCCTGTTCTTGGAATTTGAATTCAGTCTGTTTTATAATATCAAAACAACGTTTTGACAAAAAGAAAGAAATATATAAAAACGCTGTCTACACTGGTAACCTGCATTTCCGCGTGACTTGTTGCCTGCTTCTAAAAGAATGCATCATTCTGTCCTTCATGTCACCTTCTAACAGGCCATGATGAGACCAAATAAATAAAAAAGCTACCTGGGCTGCAACTTTTAGATGTGTTTATGGTAACTTAATTGGTTTATGGATTGTTTTTGGGTTCAAAGTATATCCGGTGATAAAATTAAATAAATCTGTTTTTCCTGGATCATCTAAACCGTCAAACAAACTGAAACTAACTTTATTTTTTTTTCTGTTCTGTTTCCTTTACAGCCAAGATGTCCTCGTACGAAGAAGGGAATGACTCAAAATTAATGCGCAAAGTAAAGGAAAATCCCTTTGTCCCATTGGGTGAGTATATTTTGTACCCTGCTTTGTACCCTGCCTGTACAGTAGCTAATCTGTATTGTATTTTTTGCAGGAATGGCTGGATTTGTTGCCATTGTTGGACACCAGCTGTATAAAATGAAAAATCGAGGGGACACAAAAATGTCAGTACACCTCATCCACATGCGTGTAGCTGCACAAGGCTTTGTGGTAGGAGCCATAACAGTAGGTGTGTATCATGTTTTTAGTTGGCTGCTTTTATATTAGATATATCTTTTGGTGCATTTACAATACATTAAATATAAAAACATACTCGGGATGAAGGCTCTTTGTTCTATTTGCCTCCTTTGCATATTTGACAGTGTTAACAGATTTGATTAAATTAGGCTGCGATCCCTCAAACTGTAAGGGCAGATTATATTTCTGCAACCGCACACATCAAATGTCGCTTGGGTCTGGTTGTGAACCAGTTTTGCTGGTATGCTTCTGCACCGTCGGTCTGGACTTTCTAGGGATGCACAGCAGTTTACCGCCAAAGCGAAAGGGGGAGCCTATTGGAGAACTCGTGAGAACTTTGGCGAATGGTCATGAGAACTTCGGTGACATTGGCAGGAGGGTTTATCTTCCAAAACAACAACGGCGTGTCTGCAAGATATCAGGGTCACGGAGATGGATCTAGAGTTGCTAGACATCGAAGAGGAACAGGTTCTGTTAGTAGAGTTGGCAAAAACCCATTAACCTTTTGTTGTAGTTGTCCATGGTAGTTGTTCCTGGGTGTTTAAAAATGGCGTGCCCCAACGCCGAATTGAGAAAGATGACAACACAGACAGCCAGAAAGACATGCCAAGGACCAATCACAGCTGCTTTTTGTCTGCGCACTTCCGCATGAGTTCTGCGCGGGTTTGCGTCCGCCCAATGCATAATCAGGATTTTTTTTGAGGTGCTCAACAATGATTGCAGGGCGTGGTCGCGCACAGAGACAGATTCGACGGGTGCAGGGGCTATGCTTCAGAAGTAAAAATTGGCCTTTATTTATATATATATATATATATATATATATATATATATATAATATTCATAACAGTGAGTTGATGTGTATTGTTTACTAGTTTTCCCAGATTTAAATGTTGGCAAAAAAAATTTATGTGACTGCTTGTGAACTGAAACTTGGCTCCACCCCTACAGTTACATGCTGTTTTTTAGAGGCTAAGAAACACACATGGCTCTGTAGCTGTTCTGTGAAATCTCAACAGAAAAGGGAGAAATGAGGCAATATTTTCGATGTTTTCAAAGCAGTGACTCTGTAGCTTTCAACATATCTCCACACTTTTGGTGTTTTAGTTTTTAGCTCTTGCAGAAAATAACATATCTATAGTCATATCATATATATTATCTATTACCAGTAAAATATTTTCACATTTACAAACCTGTTTTTCTTGCAAGGCACTAGAAAGCATGGTTGCCATATCTCACCAAATGATAACCAGCCAGGGACTTGAAGAGAGGAGTTCTTCAAATCAAACTCTTATCAATTTATTGTACTAATTCACAATACATATAATTTAAGGCACTTTACAGAGTTAATACAGTCAAAACATACAGGCCAACTGGTTAAAAATTTTTCTTTATGGAAACCCAGAAGTTTGTATTGAGTTATTGACTTGCACAATATCTCCCGCAAAGAACATTAAAGGGCTGGTTATACTCCTGCAGCAGTGAGCTTGTCGCAGATATTTTTGATTTATGCCCATGTATTGAAGCGTGGTCTGCCCTATGTTATTCCACGCTACAACACAAGAGGGAAAATCATGAACTAGCTAAGGGTTTATATACACTGAGGAAGGCGCTGAGCGCTATATAGGCGCTGAGGAAGTGGAAAAACACAAGAGGCAATTTTGCGCGACCACAGAGGGACATGAGGCCGAAAAAGAGTGGGGATCCAGCTGGAAAAAGGGTCCAGCAGATGACATGGCACCCCAAACCATCACTGACTGTGGAAACTTTACACTGGACTTCAAGCAACGTGGATGAAGTGCCTCTCTTCTTTNTATCTATAATATAGTCATATTATGGTTATGTATTACCAGAAAAATATTTTCACATTTACAAACCTGTTTTTCTTGCAAGGCACTAGAAAGCATGGAAAATGGACAAAACAGGAAATATGCATAGCGTTGAGCGGATGTAGATTTGACCAATCAGAGGCCTCCTGTCTGTGGTCACCTACAATTTGGGAGAGGTGCAGCAGATTGTGTGCAGAAGGGGCGGGGGCATATTGGTGTTCACAGTGACACCTATGCAGATTACCTGGTCTCTGAATATAAACCAGTCTTAAGCCAATAACCTTGCTGTGTATAACATAGGTATTAAAAGATGAAGTTAGTTTGAAAAATGTCCACTTACCTAAATTTGTCTTTCCTCTACAACCTGGAAATGAATATAAACATTCTTTCAACCAGCTGACTTGCAGTGTGCTGCAGCAGGAGTTAGGGTACTATTGGAGGTTGATTCATGGTGCTGAATTAAGCTTCAGTCACTGCTGTAGGTACTGTAGGGCATGTGAACGAAAGAACATTCCACTAGAGGCACCATATGGTGAAAAATAATGTAGGTGGGAAAGCAGGAATATTTTAAAACATTTGTACATATCAACCTCTTTCCATTTGTAATTACACACATGTTCATGCAGAATGATTCTCCTTAAAGAACATTAAAGGATGTGGTAAGCAGATAATTGTTGTCAATTTTCTGCACTTGCTGGAAGTAGAGGGTGTCATCGTAAAAGATAATTTTTTAACCAAAATGACAGAATTAGAAAATAATCAAGCCTAAATCTAAAATGGGTCTGAGAGGATCTTAGGGAAAAAAGATAGCCCTGTTATATTATTACTACAATTGCTCATGGTCATATAGATTGGGAGTAGTCTATAGTTTCCTAATTACTTTTTACTGTCCACTTTCACAAGTTCCCCCCACCCTCTCTGCTCCTTTATAAGCATAGTCACTAAAGCCGGGCTTACACTGTACGATTTATTTTGCAGATTTTCCAGTCGTGCCAGAATTTTCCGATTGGGCTGAGTATCAGCCTCGTTGTGCATCCTGCATCTCGTATTATACAGGGGGTAACGAAGAGCAATTAGCCTCTCACAACCACCTCCCGTTTAGGAATTGTAAGGTCGGGAGAAAATTAAACATGTTTGGAATTCAGTCGGTCGTCGTAAGATTGCATCAAAGCGACAGGCCGCACAGTGTGAGAACATGCATTTTTGAGCTGTGAACTTTTAAACCCTGCGGCTTCGTCGTACAGTTTGAGCTGTAGCTGCGTGCAACAAGTGAAAGTATCGCACAGTGTATGCCCAGCTTAAGATTTACATCAGGTTTGGATTTAAAGGACAGTAAATGTCAGCTGATTTAGCCAAAAACATTAACAAACAAAATTGTAATAAATTGTTAATATATTCCTAAATACTACATTTAGATAGTATGCATTGCAAATCTAACCTATTTAGGTTAGAATTATTGTAGAGAATCAATGCTGTTCTTAGTTATGTAGGGACCTACTTAGCAGTATGTGGGTTTAAATATTGTTCTTTTTTTCTCTAAAAATCCAGTATTATTTTGATTTCTGTTAGAAATCTGAGCCGCAGTTGACGTTTTTAATCTGTTTGTGAACAGTTGTACAAGCCCCAATTCAACTCACCAGTTTGTTTTCTTTCTTCTTTTGCAGGTGTCTTGTATTCAATGTACAACCAGTACATCAGGCATCCCAAAGAAGAGCAGAATTCTGAGAAACACAATTAAAAACTGAATCTTACTGTCAAACGTCTGTGGAATTAGGACCATCATTTCTAGATGTGCATTTAGAAGCTAATCAGTGACTAAAAAACAACCCTATGGCACATCACTTTTTAAAATTGAACATTAGTGGCCACCAGCTTATGGGTGTAAGATTTGGTGCTTTATTTGGCAGTCTTTCAAGTGTAGCATAAGGGATGTTTATGTAGGAGATGCCCACACTGATATATCGGCTTTATGTAAATTGCATAAAACAATATTTGTAGCAGATAAACACATGACTCAATGTATGTCAAGGCCAAATTAAAATAATTTGTGTTTTAGCCTGCTCTTTTTTTCATTGTCCTTGTTTTAATCCCCAAAGCAGCCTAAGAACATTTTTAACAGATTTCTGCCAGTAACATATAATATATATAAATATATATTTGTTTATTGTTTTAAATCAAGTTTCTGGTAGAATATTTTGGGGTTTTTATTCATTCATATGTACTGTACTGTACTGTAACAAGGTCTCCTTTTTTCATATTTTGTTTTGCTTCTGCTTGTTATGAAAAAAGTGCAATCTATTTAGTGATAACTCTTATTCAAAGCATTTACAGTCTATTACTGTTTGAGTACATAGCAGGCTTTTTGTAAAAGTCACCCTAATTTCTTTAAATAATTATAAATTGCTGCTGTGTATACACCTCTATTGTGTGCTTTCAATTGATGTTTTTCTTAGTTTAAAAATGCATTCTCTGATATACTCTGCAAATTGTTTGACTGACTTTAGGCAGATTACAGAAAGATTACAGAAAGCTACTTCTGTTTCAAACCTGTCACCTTTTTTCAAATAGTGAACCCCTGCTCCCTCTAACTTAAAAATGTTTGGTATTCTTTGAAATAAACACAACATATAAAAACTGCTGACTTTGCACTGTGCCTGTTATAAAGGTGTTTTTAGAAATTGCTGTAAAGATTTTTATTTGGCAACATGAACTGTTTAGCGTCTACCTGACATTCAGTAAGTGTTGTGCAACAGCTGGCTGCATCACTTTGAGCATGGATGGAATTCCAATGTAAAAATACCGCTTGGGTACGTTTGTCAGCATGACTCTGCAAATCTTGAAACTTTCTTAAGTCTTTGTTGAATATATAGGCGGTATCTCTAAAGTCAGATTTAATAAGGGGACCATTCTTAAATTCAGACCGAATAGGATGAAACTCATTTGGCTCTTCTAAAGGATGGCATTTTATAATAAGATAGTTCATCCTCCTTAAAACAACACTTAACAAACTCAGGTATGAGTTACTCTTTAGTATATTGGTGTGCATCAGTGATATGCATTCAAACTGCAGCATTTCCACAAAGTGCTTTATATGTTGTCTTTAATCTGCATTGCAGAAACAAACCTCAGGATAAGGAATTTAATGAAATTTGTCACAGAAAGAGACTGCAAACAATAAAATATAAATGGAGGAAACTTGGGTAACTCACTGTTTGCCTTGTGTGTTGTGTCAACAAAAATGTAGCCTAAGAGTTTTGTCTTGATTGTGAAAAAGGACTAATTGTTGTTAAAAACAGCAAGCAAAACAAATCGTCTTAAAGCGGAGAGACTTAAATTCTAGCGTGTATCTTTTACAATTATATATTCATTTGATTAGTTAATGCCAAAACTGAAGTCTCCAGATCTTTTTTTTTTCTTCTATAAAAATAAACGTACCATAGAAATCTGTGATAAGTAATCTAAAGAGCTATCTCATTGATGGGAAGTTTCTGCTATTCTGAATTTTACTAATTAAAATAATAACAAAGGCTCCCTTGTGTAGTGGATCCCTCGTCAGCATAACAACACAGTAAGTGATACCAGGTGTGTTTACTCTCACAGTTTTTACCAGGAATCAAGACATGGAAAACAGCCCAAACAGGGTAATAAAATGTGGGCGTGTCATGGATGAACTGCTAAGAAGCATTTAAGGTTAGTCCCGCCCCTGTTGAATACATTCATTCAGAAATTCATAGTCATTGTGGAATTCTGTTACATGCTGCAACTTGTTGGTGAAATCTACTTGTGTTTTATAGTCTGCCTTATCACATATTTATGTACATTTGAAAAAAATGGAAAGCTGTAGATACTGTTTTCAACTATTTAAATGTTGTTGTTTTTTAATTGAACTGAGGATCCCATCCATTTATATTAAAAAAAACATGCTGCACAGTTGTAGTTACTGTTACTGCATTTTATGATTCAGGCATCTTTCTGCTGATCATTTGGAGTCCATACTTAAATAAACACTCTTAACATCCTGTAAACGTAGGCCTACACATCTTGGGTCTCTTAATTTAAAGATTGCTTTAACAATATAGCACCTCTCCATGCTCCAAACCTTTTGCCACTATGTGTCTATGACTCACAGGGCAGAAGAAAATGGATCAACATGTTCCGCTCGGCTGTATCGTGTTTCTCCATCTCCAGCACGGATGTCACGTCTCTGCTGTATTCATAACAATGCAGCCTAGGGGGAGCCGAGTCAGCATGACTGTGCACAGTTTCCCTCATTAGCATTCATTTAGGTCTTTGGTATTTAACTAATGAATCTTGTTAAAAAAACATTTTAACATATCCATCTATATACAACATGTCTATGCCTGACATTGCTGTTTCTGTGGATGAAAGATAGACGTGTGGATGGTAATGTCCATCAATGAAAATCATATATTTACCATCACATATAAAAGAAAGCATATTCCTTAATTAATATTGGTTATGATTTATAAAATATTGCCAAATTGTTCTGCACTGTAAATTATTTTACTTGTAAAATAAAAAAAGACAAAAAAAAAAATATATTAAAATTGGTATGGATTCCATTATGTCATTTATAAAAGACAAAACGGAAATGTTTGTAAAAAGTTAAGTAGGTAAGAACCATGACTAAAATAAACGCACTATTTTGAGCACAATGAGGCTTGCCATTTTTTTCATTATTTATCCATTTGCCTTACTGATTATTATACATTTGCTCATTGTTTTCATGTGTAGTTTAAATAATTAACTGTGTTTAAAACAATTAAATTCAAATAGTGCATCTTTACTAAACATGTCAGCCTGAAGCAGTTTACAAAAAAAAAACAAATTCTATCCAAGCATAAATCGAGTTTTTAAGTCAAATACATACTTTCCACATGAATCCAGGTTATCAAATGATACAATCAAGATTAATTTGTCATTCAAACGGGTTAAAAGTGTTCTATGATATGTAAAATTCTGTATTGAGACAGCGACTTGCAGCAGCATAAAGTATTATAGTATGTTTACACTTTGCAGTGGTAAAGTGTTTAAACACCAACACTAAAGTTTCATATATGCAAATATAGGCCTCAACCAAAGGACTAAATTGTTCAAGCCCACATTTAATCAGCTGCTGTTAAAATATTGAGATTTTTATTTATTTTTTTAACCATCACCGGTTTTCTCTGTTAGTTTTTAGCTAATTTACCCGCAAAATGTAATATCAGAACCCTGAGCAAGATGGCCGCTGTAGTGGGGTATTTTACTCAGAGCACGTATTTTCCTGTTCCCGCGAGATCGCGTTTAAAGTCACTTTACTTCTGTTGTTATAGCGACGATAGCGTCTCCTTCAGGAAGCTAGGTGTTACATTTTCAACGTTTACAGAACATGCATTTAAAATCATATAATTCGGTTAAGCTCCTATATTAATTAAAGGTAGGTTCATCTCTGTTTTACAGTTTTTGTAACTTATAAGATTTCGGTCAAAATGTCAAACTAATTTATACCGTATTTGCATAGAATTGTCAACCTGTAGGTGAGTCATAAGGCGTTTCCTTTACTAGCACAATGTTCACTGTTCTAAACGATCTTTTACAAGATTGTCTGCACATAAGTGTAAATAACAACATATCATTTAAGAAATATGTTGTGCTAAATTCTTGAACCACTGATGAATTCTAAATATCTTGCTTCCAAGAAGATGGATTTACCTGATATGTGATAGTTTCTGGGTTTTAAAATATAGGATTTTTCATAATCTTTTTATATATCTTCATTTTTAAGTATATGGGGAAGCATGTGTTTATTAAATTGAAGAGGAATAGAGAAGTCTAGTAGAAGCAGAAATCCTAAAACAGATGACTAGTTTTCTACAATTTATGTATTTATCCAGCAAAGACCTGACAAAGGTCAGTTTTAACATCTTTTTGATGACTATATAGTTCATGTTAACCGTTTAGCTATATTAGCCATCTAATTAAAGTCTCATTAGTGGTAGATTAGTGCTAGAAATTTCCTTCATATATTATACCTTTATCCAGACAGATCTGTGAGATTAAAACTGTTTTTCAAGAGAACCTGGCCAAGAATTGCAGCAGAACACATTTTTAAATACACATTGCAGACATTAAAATGCATTTAAGATGCAATGCATTTAAGATGCATGAAGCAGCAAAGCTTCTGATCCATCTGAGTGCCTATGGTAGCAATGCTAGGCCCTTTTGAATTAAACAGCACAATTAAAGAAGGTGGCCAGTTATTTGATCATAAGTCAGTCAGGTAATCATAAGGTAGTTCCTAATCGATCGCTTAAAGTTAAGCTGTAGATAGTCAGTAACAAGACTGAAAATGAGTCTTAAAGAAACCCTTTAAAGGCTCTTAGTCTTCATAGCTTTTTAAACACGTTTAGCAAAAAAAAAAATTCATGGTACTCTTTAATTGTTGATACTTGCATGAGCCTTAAAACCAGTGTTCCTTATTACCTCTGCAGTTTTAGTAACACTTTACTCACAGAGAGCCATGTTTTAGAAGAAGTCTCAGGTGAGTTCTATTGGTAACACAGCATTGTTTCCCTCAGCTGTTCTTCTTTTCCTCGCAGTACACCTCATCGTTTGATCATGGATCATGATGAACATTTTCATGACTTGCGTCTTCAGTTCCAAATGCTGCAAAAACAGCAGAACAAAAGAAAACTGGATTTGAAGAAGAAGAAAGAACAGAGCAATTTCAATGTGACTGATTCACAGGAGGATTTGGATCTGTCAAAGCAAGACATTCTGGAAGGCAGTGCAGTGGATAGGTAAGTATACTTACTTAATCTGGCATTATACTTTATATAAACTACCGTTTAAACGTTTGGGGTCACATTGAAATGCCCTTATTTTTGAAGGAAAAGCACTGTACTTTTCAATGAAGATAACTTTAAACTAGTCTTAACCTTAAAGAAATACACTATACATTGCTAATGTGGTAACTGACTATTCTAGCTGCAAATGTCCGGTTTTCGGTGCAATATCTACATAGGTGTATAGAAGCCCATTTCCAGCAACTATCACTCCAGTGTTCTAATGGTACAATGTGTTTGCTCATTGGCTCAGAAGGCTAATTAGTGATTAGAAAACCCTTGTGCAATCATGTTCACACATCTGAAAAAGGTTTAGCTCATTACAGGAACTACGAAACTGACCTTCTTTTGAGCAGATTGAGTTTCTGGAGCATCACATTTGGGGGGTCAATTAAACACTCAAAATGGCCAGAAAAAGAGAACTTTCATCTGAAACTCCACAGTCTATTCTTGTTCTTAGAAATTAAGGCTATTCCATGCGAGAAATTGCTAAGAAATTGAAGATTTCCTTCCTTCAGAGGACAGCACAGACATTTTTATATTTATATATATATATATATATATATATAGGTGTGGTGATAGTGTGTTTTCTATCTCTCAAAGTCTGTTACAGCAGCAAAATCAGACTCTCTTGGACCAAGTGCGAGAGCTCAGAGATCAAAATGGTCGACTCTTCAAACTTCTGAGCGAGAAGGACTTTGAGATGAAACATCTAAAGAAAAAAAGAGATGAAGAGAAACTGGCTTTAGCTGGTACAAGCAGAGAAGTTTGATGTCCTTTACACATGGCAATTAATTGCACTTCATGATGATCTTTTTAATCTTTCCTTTAGGAACATCAGGCTTGACTGGAGTTGTAGCTGCCACCAAGATTGTTGAACTTTCCAAGAAAATTAGAGAGCTTACTGCAGAAATTGAGCAAGAGAAGATTCGATCCAAGCAAAACAGAAACAGGATCCAAGAGCTTGAGAAAGAGGTAAATTATTGTTTAATTGGATGAAGAGATGGTATAACAGGATAAAACTGAGAAAGGAATATTTGGTATAGCTGCAAGCTGCTTTGGAGAACTCTGTACCAGGGCGGAAAAAAACACAAAAAACACAGGATAAGAGCCCGTCTGAAGACTGTGAGGTAAACAAAAACGCAGTCTGTCTTTTATATACACTGCTTACACCCTTAGGTTATAGCAGTTTATTTTAAATCACATTAATTTTTCAACTGAGCAACAGGAAAATCCAGTGGTCAAGTCCCTGCAGGAAAGATTGGCAGCTGCTCAGCTGAAAGTGACAGAATATCGTAACCAGGTTCAGTCTGCAAAACAGGAGTTAAAAGTTGCTCAGAAGGTAAGCTGATAAGTTATTTTCCAACATTATTATGCATATAGTATTTGAGTTCATGATAGAAGTTCATTTAAAAAGTAAGATTTACAAAAGGTATTTTAACACTTTTGTATTGAACCAGAGAATGAAATGTTCTTATAAGAATGTCCTGGCCAAGATCGATAAAGTGGCCTCCATCATCACAGTAAAAAATATGATGTTGAGGAAGATAAAAAAAAACAAAAAAAACAAAGCTCCCTAGAGAACAGCAGGAATTCGTCTATTGTGAGATCTTGGTTCTGTACAGCTGCAAGAAATTATAAATTTGTTTTCAGGATTTTTAAACCTTTTTTCTGAATTAGATGCTAAGTTCTGTAGTGGCTGAAATACCTCCACCAAAAAAACATTAACAATATTGTGGCTTCTTTATTACTGCTTTTACACCCTGTGATCGTGATGCATGTTTATTGTCTTGTTAATCTAAAAATAAACTGTTGCAGGTTTTACTGAGTGAAGTTGGAGAGGAGGTCAACCTTCAGCAGGTACTGAACAACCCAGGGAGCTTTAGAGGACGGTCCCAGCAGATTCTTGCTCTCCAAACAAGGGTAAGCTAGAAAAATTAGCTGGACTCCTAATTTGCATCTTAAAGTTGCTCTTATTAAGAATTTTAAAATTTTATTTATTGAACTCCCACCATGCATTTGTATATGTGAGCACAAGCACATACTTACTTTGATCTGATAGCAGCCCAGTATTTTTTTCCCCTTTATCTAGCTGAGATTATACACAGACTACAGATTAGGAGGTAATTCTAGCACTGTTTGTGATTTGAGGTTGGGTTGATATGAGAAATAAAATGGTTGTCCCGCCTTAAACCTTGTTTGATTCGTATTTATGGAGGGAATGTTTGTCAGACTGTAAAAAGAAAAAGAAAAAACTTTTAATTATTAGCAGAATTTATGTTTAACAAAGTCATTGATACTATGATAAATTGCAGAGGATCATCTTATTTTTAGGTCCACCTGATAAACAGCAGTGACTGCAATCGTAGTTTTTTTTTATTGCATTTCTTTCACAGCAACGCCCTCTTGGGCAGTTATCTAGGTCTCCTGATTCAATGGCACAGAATCAACACAACTTCCAAATAAGGTAACAGAAAACAATAGATGTAATTTTACAGATCAATTTCCCACACAGTTAACAAGGAATTTTACATCCCTTCTTACATATAACAGACCACCCAGATACTATTTTCGATATCTATCTCTAACAACCAAAATACATCTGTGTGTGGTGACTCTCAAAGCTCAGTCTCCAGCTGCTTGAATTCCTTATGAACCTCCCAGACAATAGATTTGCTTTACAGTTCAATGTTTAGTGTTTTTTTTTTATCACAGTTTTTCCTTTCAATAAACTGTAATTACATTTACCACCTGTAAAAGGTAAGTCAATGAAGGGGATTCTTTAATCTTTGCTGTGCAAATATCAAATCAGCAGTCCCATTTTTTTCCCATGATTGTAGAGGCCATCTCATGTTCATAGAGTACAGTCCTGTGTTTTCATCAAACGGATGAAAACACAGGACAGTGGAAGCTTTAATCATTGTACTTGATAAAAAATAAACTCATAAACGATATCTACTATCTGTGTAAAGATGTATACAAGTTAAATTGCTGAAAAATCAACATTGGCAATATTTTGAATTGTTTTTAGGCCTCTGTTTGTCATGTAGAAAAAAAAAATGCCTGAATTTATACAACAGGTGCAGGAGCTTGAGCGGCAGCTGTGCCACCAAAGACAGTCAGGGATTCCAAGTGGAGAGCAGCAGTTTCCTGCCCCGGGGGTCAATCATAAATCCCCTTCCCAAAATAGGAACCTGAACTACATCCGGACCATTGAGAAGGAAAAGAGGGAGTCATATGAGGTACTTCTAGAATAAATCTATGTAAAAACAAAATGAAAGGTTAAGATACTCTTTTTATTCCATTTCTTTTTGGGGGGTGTGCAGAAGCTCTCAGCAGATTATGAGGCCCTTTTGAAAGAATGTGGGGATGTGAAGAAACAGCTAGAAGCTTCTAAAGCCAGGAGCAGAACTCAGTCGGAGGAAGTTAAAAATCTGAAAGTGCAAATTTCTTCCCTGCGGGAGAAAAGAAAACATGATGACGAGCTCGTGGATGTCTTGATGGTAAACATTTAGAGAAGACAAAAGTAAAAAAAAGAAAAGCATGTTGCGGGTCCTTCAATTCCCACAACCTTGTTTTGTTAACCTCTGGCAGAAACGGGAGAGCCAGATGCAGACGTTGCTAAAGCAGCTCAGCCGACAGCAGAGCGAACAGAGCAAGGAGGATAAACAGAACCCAAGACAACAGCTGGGCAGTGTGCCTCTAGAGCACAACAAGCTGATCCAGAAGCTGAAGCTTGTTGTTGCAGAGAAAGATGCCACAATAAGAGAACTGCGGGAATTGTCCAATCAGGTAAAAAAAAAAAAAAAAAAAAACTATTAAAGCAAGTCAAGCAGTCACTGTGAAAAAAAAAATCTGCCTTCTGGCAATAATAACTGTGTTTTTGTACTAACTGAAGGAAGCGAGGGTGGACAGGCAGTCAAGCCCAAAGATAAAAAGCTGCAACTCAAGAATTTGCCCAGAAGATGGAGACAGTATCAACACAATAACACCCTCAGAGTATGTCTTACCATTATAGTTATGAGATTTAATTGATTACATTCCTCATTTATTATACGAATTAAGCTCTAGAAATTAGCAAATTATATGAAATGTTAATATAGAGTGAATTTTTTACAGGTAGGGTCTTGAAGACTTTTTGATTTACTAAGGATAACAACTAATTCAGTTTACTGATGGTTTTATAATTCCTTACTTCCTCTTATTCCAAAATAACATAAAAAAAACAAAAAAACACTGGAATTTTTTCCAAAGTTTCAGGATGTTTCCCATCCAGAAAGCTTTTTCACTTCAAAATGGCAGAAATAGCATTGAGTTGGAGGCTTTATAGAATGAACCAAAAACAAAGCCTTGTTTTGGTTTAGAAAGCATGCACATTTTTGACATTCTTTTGAGGACAAAAATGTTCTCATTTTGGACAAAGAAGACAGATGGTTTGAGAGGGGTGTGAAGGAAGCCATGTATGTTAAGAAATAACAACCTTAAACAGAGGGGGTGGACTCAGATTTCAGCTTTCAAAAACCTACAATGCAGCGATAGAATCGATTCCTTCTCGCCGTCATTGCAATCCCCACCCCATACAGGGGAACAGAACATCTCGCCTGTTCAGCCAGGCCAACAATTTCACAGGTATCTGGTATTACAATCTAACAAAGAACCCAAACACCTACCCATTCCGAAGGGGCAGAGCCGTTCGTTCAATTCAATTTGCATATTTTCTAAGCCAAATAAAGGCTTTGTTTTTGGTTCACTCTATAAAGCTTTGAGCTCAACCCTATTTCTGCCATTTTGAATTTAAAAAGCTTCCTGGATGGGAAGAGAAACGTCTTCAAACTTAGAAAAAAAGTCCAGTGGTATGTGTTTTTAATTTTTTGGAATGACTATGCCCTGGATGACGGAGATTCTTCACCAGCATATTTTCCTCTACTCTTTTTTTTTTTTCAGTTCATTTTCTAAATTAGGTCATAAATTGGTGCGCGATACTATGGGAGGTGGGATGGACATAAAGTAAGTGAGCAGTATAATATCTATTTATTATTGCTCTCATTTTAAATATGAAGTTATTTTAATCAGTGGTACATTAATCAAAAAATTTGAAATTAAAAAATTTTATCTGTTCTCAGAAGCGATTCAAAATGTCCTCAGTGCTCAGCTGATGTGAGTGCTCTGATCACCCAGACCAGTACATATAAAACCCTCAACATGGAGAAAGACAGACTCCTGGAACTGGTTGAGGTCCTACAGATCAAGTAATGTACCCTATTTTTAGTTTGTCTGCTTGAATCTACTTCCTTGATAAATGCTCCCCATTCTCTTCAATCCGTGAATATAGTTAGTCGAGGCAATATCGGCAAGGCTAGTTTATTTATGTAGCACACTCAAGTGGCAAGGCAATTCAAGGTGCTATAAACAAGGAAAAAAGAAAGACATTGCAGTGGCATAAAGGCTAAACAAATATTTCCAGAGAATAAAAGTGACACATCAAAATAAGATGATTGTAAAAAGGATCAAATTATTGATTAAAAAGGGATTAAGGATATGGAGTGAAAATCAGACTGGAAATGATCTCATGTGCCTTTGACATCATACCTCTGTGAATAATGTTAGATTCATTGTTCATTAATTACACTGCATTAAATCTTTCCATAGAGTTTATTGGAGTTTTATAGTTTTTTAAAGAAGTCCAGGGAGAGAGATATTAAATAGGTGTGTTTGACACAAAATCTCTATATTGCAGAGAGAAAGACGTGAAGCAAATGTGCTTGGAGGCAGAGAAGAAGTACCACGAAGAGCGCCGCAAGAATGCGATGCTGGAACAGCAGTTGGAAAGGACATTAGATTCATTATAAAAGGACCCTGTAGTGAGCCTGGTAAGGACCATTATAACCAGGTGGTTGGTGCTGCTGGAAAACGCTCTTTTCCAATCCTACAACTCATCAGTTAAAACCTAACCTGCCTCAATCTGGCTGTCATGACTCTGTTCATCATGAGTGGTGGTGCAGGAGCTATAGGGCTGAATAAAGTGTGAACATACAAACTGAACAAACTGGAATCGTAGAAAACAATTTAAACCTGCTATCCTTATTTGTGTTTTGAGCTGCTTCTGATTTCAAACCTGACAGATATTTTCCACCCATAAAAATGGAACGACTGAAGAAATGTGATGATATGTGGCAGTGGTCTCAGTTCCTATGGACAGGGTTAGTTTCTGCCCCTCATATGTTGCCTGGTTATTGTTGTTTGCTGTCCTCTGGCTGGTCATTCAGCTGGAGGAAACAGTCTCTAAGGGCATCCTGAAAGAGCACTCTCGATCTCACTGTGCAGCTTTATGGTGACGTGATGGGACAAGTCAAGCATGTGTTGTTGTTTTTTTTTTTCTTGGAGACTGTGACAGCATTGACAAGACACTAACCAGGGGAACTGGCTTCTCCCTGCTCACGCTTTATTTCTACTAAGCCCTACCTTCTCCTGTCACATGTGACAAACTGCAGCCTGCAGGAAGCAAGTTGCCCTCAATAGTCACATACACACACTGAACAAAATTCTATATATCTTATTCTCAGTTCAAGTTTGAATGATTTGTAAAGTCATGTCTGGTAACTTCAGGTCGAGGACTATATAGGAACTTTTGTTGAACAGCTTCCTGCTTGACCATGATGGAAGCTGATAATACTTCCTGCTTATTTCAGGGCTAGGTAATAATCTGTTCTTCAGGTTTCAGAGGGAAAGCATTGATATTATCTCTGCCAGTTGGTCAATGACTGTTTTTGTCACATTCTATCTTGTAAAAAAATGTTTATTTGCTTGTAACCCTGTGTAAAACATAATAAATGTCTGATTCAGTCAGTTGATACAAACCAGGCTTTTCCCAAAGATTTTTTTTATACCAGATTGACCTTAATTTTCTTACGTTTTCAGCATTTTCCTCCTAATCTGGTAGATATTTTTGGTGGTGGATGTTATTGGATGAAATTGCAGAATAACAGTGAAGGTCGCTATTATTCCTGTTAGGGTTCTCCTAATGTTGGATATTTCTGTACAATATCATCTCTAATCATTTCTGACTTAAACCCAGATGTCTGTGAATAGTTGTTAAATGTGAATGCAAACAGACTCCACCAGCTGACTGATGTACATTTTTAGAGCATGGTGCAAAAGTAAAGTATAAAATCTTAGATCAGTGTTTCAGTGTGTGACTTGATTTCAATATTTACCATTGAATGTATTTAGACAGAGATAATGACATTTTCTGAAAAAAATAGATTACTTTTTTTGAGACTCAGCAAAATTGTTTTATCTTAGGGATGTTTCTATTTTTTTGTGCTTTACTCCATTCAGCTTTCTTCCTTAGCTCCTCAATTCAGACTTTTCCCCATTCTTTTAATTCTTTCTCATCCTCTTTCCTTCCCTTTCAGTGTTTTCTTCTCTTTCCGCCGTTTTTCAAATGTATACTAATACAACTTTGTTACCTTTTGTATGGTTTCCCTTAATTTTCAGACTTCATTGCCTCATTTTTATTTTGCTTTTTAAACTTTTCATTTTCTCACTCCTCTTTCCTTTCTTGCCATTTCTTTACCCTCTTCTTCGCTCTATTTCTCCTACTCTTTATATGCTTATTTCTCCCTTTTAATGGTCCCTTGCTATTTCCTTCCTTCCCCTCCTTTATTTGTCATGCATTTTTCCTTCATTCATACATTTTGTTTTCCTTATTCTGTCCTTGCTACCTGTCTTCTCCAGATTTTATTTTACTGTAACCTCAAAGGAAATGTCTGTAGTATTTTGATTAAAACTTTTTTTTTCAGACTAAACAAAAAATGCCATAAATGAGCGGAAGATAGTTCGTTTTTGTCTGGATAAAATATATTTACAACTATTGTTAACCTCTTGGTCTTTCAAACCAAACAATCCTGCTGATGGAAGTAGCATCTGGATACACACTAACTCGGGTGTTTCAGCTGTGAAAGCATCCTTCCCTCCCGTCGTCTCACCATCACGCTTAATTTAAACCCATGGCTGACTTAGTGTACTGATTCAAATACTGCACTGTCTTCCAGCACCCTGTGGGAGATTGGCAGGTCCCATTTGCACCTGGTAAAAAAGCCACAAGACAAAAATATCAGAGTTTTGGAAGCGATAAAGACAGCCGGTATGTTCAGAGTAACAAACATGTTGTGTTTCTTATTTTCTTTATGGAAGCTGAGAAACCTTTTTATTATGTGATAGAGAGTTGGAGGCAGTGGATGAGCAGATTAGATCCAATGCTTATATAACATTATCCATATGAGCAATTTGTGGTTTTAGCCCTTCATTCCACCTAAGTCCTGGAAGGGGTTTGAATTCATGTAAAGATTTTTTTCTACATCCACCACAAAACAGTTACGGTTAGAGTTAAATCTATGAGAACATTAGATGTATGTGTAAAAACTAACTGCTAGGAACAAGTCAAGTACTTCCACCACTTCATAAGCTTTTATACAAAGCTTCCTACTGTTTCCCACTGAGGTTACTGTAATTTCAGGTAAACTAATTTTACAGCTTAATGCATCTGCTCTTGTTGACTTCAGTTATTTTGGAGTGTCATCACCTTTAAATAAATTACACTTCGACAGACAATTTTATTCTTGTTTTATGTAGCTGTATTACGCAGAAAGGTGTAGATTTATTCCAAAATGCCCAATAAGCCACCAAACCAAACACAAACTTATGTAAACACAGCATGCGTAAACAGCTTCGGCTATTTGTCATTCCAGCTTTGAATGACTCCTTTCTCCATCGTTCTCCACAGAGGTATTCCCTCGTTCTGGACCACTGCTTCCTGCAGACCATTGACTGCATCCAGAAACTAAAGTAAACAGTGCAGCTGTGAACGTCGAGGTTAAAGTTAGCAATCAGTGCACGAGGGATCTGTGAACTTTCCTCAGGCCAGAAAAACAGTTTCCTCCTCTGTGAGTTTATTCATTGGCCTGCGGCTCTCATTTACATGTAATGGAAAGAAAATAAACAGAACAGTCTTAATGTGCTCATTTACAGTAATTAGAAAGCAAGTAACAACTTATCTAAACTTGTATACCAGTAAGTAAATTATAAGACTCTTAATGGCTGATTTATATTTACTGGATCATCCTGTTTTTGTTTTTTGTTTTTTTTTATTTCCACAAATTAATTAGCTGGAGTCTCACTAGAGGGCAGTGCAGTTGCTAATGTATGGTGTTTTACTCTAGCTTAGTAAGAAAGTCCTCTTCTGACACTGATCGAACATTGTGGAACCATATGTGATCTAAAGCCAAAAATTGGAAATAATTTGGTTCCTCAAAACAGGACTCTTTACAAACCTTTAACATTTTATGGATTAAAAAAAAAACAATTTCTGCAACTTAACTGTGCTTTAAAAAGTCTTCAGAGCCTTTTGAACCTTTTGTGCATTCTGTCACATTACAAACAGGACAAACAACCATTCACACACACACTCAAACCTAAGGAGAATTTAGAGAAGCCAAATAACCTAACAGTCATGTTTTTGGACCCAAAGAGAACCCACGCATGCACAAGGAGAACATGCAAACTCCATGCAAAAAGTTTTTAAAAGTCTTTATATAATAATAGTTTAAATTTATTGATCTCACATTGGAGAAATTCACTCCTACATTTAACCAATCCCCTTGGGAAGCAGTGGGCTGCTACTGTGTGGCGACTGTGGAGCAGTGTGGGGACCCAGAATGGCAGTACATTGGAGTGGGATTTGAACTCAGAACCTCTGGCACCCAGGTGCAATGCTCTACCCATTAGGCCACCATCGGTAGTTTTGCAGCTTGTGTTATCATACAACCCTCCCTTAAACCCATCCAGACTTTTGTTCCTGACCTTAAGGTTGGTTTACCTTGTTTTTTTATATGATGCTACTCATTTACTAATGATCTCTAAGAAAGTCAAAAGCCTTAAAAAAAACAATTGGATTTATTTTTAGATTAAGTAACATTTGTGTTGCCTTTCTTTATTTATTACTGTTATTTACTTCTGAAGGTAAACAATCAACCAAAATTATACTTAGAGGCATGACAGTCTAAAGGGATGAAATATAATGCATATCAATGGAAATTAATGTACCCTTTATTGATCATTCTCAAATTTCTAATCAATGTAGGTCTAAATCCTTATAATATACATTTAAGCTTGTATGCATAATGTCATCTGAAAAAGTCTAAGCTGTTTGAATATTTTCATATGTTGCTATAATATGCCATACATTAAACATCTTACTGATATTTCCGTTGTTGTACCCTAAGACTATTTGGCACAGCAAGGGTTTTTCAGGAATAATGATTGCTCTTGTGTTGAAGCACAAGCGCAAAGGGCCTCGTATAAAAGGAGTTCAAATTAAAAAAATATATAAAGCTGCATTTCTAGATTGCAGCTAGGCTCTGATGACTAAAACTGCACTGTTTCAGAGAAAACCCTTAAAGTTGTTGCAAAAAACTATACAATGAAATATAGATTGTTTTCTGTGCGATGAAAAAAGATTATGAGAGCCTCAAAAAATACAGATAAAAGAAGAAGATCTAAAGAAAATAGCACTCATTTATCTCAGCCTTAGTCCACTATAGATACTATGTAGAAAGACAAAAACACCCTTAGGATATGCAGTGTCTTTCATTAGTTCACAGCTGAACAACCATCTTAACTATGGCAATCATACCAGTTTGGGACAAAGTAATCCCAGTGTAAAATCTGAACCATAGGCCAGATAAACAAACTGAGGAGAAGGGTTATGATGCTTGTACCGTTTTTTTTTTTTTTTTAGATTAAAAAAAGGTTTGTCTTAAATGGATTTCCTGTCACAATTTAATACTTTGAACAAATAATTTCTGTTTCTGTTGAGTCAAATAAACCAGATAATGATGAGCCCTTTGTTCTGCGCATATTATTTTTTGAATATGGAAAAAATATTGTTGAGAGGCTTAAAATATTTTTTGTACTTATCTTTTTTTCCCCAAATAGAGATAAATACAGTAGAAATGCATTACTCCTTATGCACCAAAACAGGATATGCTGCATATTTTGGGACATTTTACAGAGGAATACTACAGCAGCACAAAGCAGAAAATGAAAAAGTAAACGGGTAACAAAAGCAGAGTTCCTACCACAGCCATTATCGTGCATCAAACTGCAGCTCCTCCGTCACTTAAAGCTGTTGTTCCCTGTGTGTCTTCTTTGTTACCTGATTGCCACTTTTGACATGTTCCTCTCACTTGTTTCATCCCTCAAAGACTTTTCTCACCATCTCACTGCTCCGCTCAACTATTGAAAAAAAAAAAAAAATCAGGAACATCTCTAACTGCTTCCTTGTGCAAGAAAAATGCTTCTTATTTTTAATCTCTAATTATGGATTCAACTATTTACCTTTCAATATACTTTATAAATACAATTAAATACAAATACTCTGATTTTACATTTAGAGACAGTAGTTGGGTTTTATTGCGTATATTCATTCTTCCCTGGAGGCATTTTTTTTTTTTTTTTTTATCAACACAGCTGCCTAATAAGTCCCTCAGCACGTGCTGTCAAAGTGACAATAGCTTTTCCTCATGAATGCAATTAGGTCCACATTCTGCTGATTTGGCTTTAGTTTTCTTGCTGTCTGACAGTTTGCCATGGAGGAACACAGAAGCAGTTAAAAAAGACACAAGCTAGTTCATCACAAAACCCCAAGAGACTGCATATAAGCTACAATGGAATATCTGTCTGCTGTCTGTCATCCATCCGTTCATATATATATATATATATATATATATATATATATATATATATATATATATATTCCTATGCTTGAATTAATGCTGACATTTTAGAGAAAAATAAGGGCAAAAAGAAATATAGCTGGTTTCACAGTGCAAAAAATAGGCTGTTGTATGACGAGGCTTGCAGAAAATGTTTTATTTCACAATCAACTCAAGGACTTGAGTTCTTTGAACCACAAGCACTGACGATGTTCCTCCAACAGAAAGCTGTGAAGAGGCAGAATTACAGAAATGATAACGCAATACTACACACTTAACCAGCTACCGACAGCTGGGAAATTGTTCTGTTCTTTTGAATCTTAAGTAAAAATTAATAAACTTTCCTTACATAAGGATTATGATGTTTTTGAGATATGATCTGTATTCCTTTGAAAATGAAGAC